GATATCAAAGTTGCAGGTCTGTTCTCTCAACTCGGGACGATGTGGGAAGAGGACATTCTGGTAGATTTGTTCAATAGCAGGGATGTGAGGTTAATACGGCAAATTCCTTTGAGTTTAAGGTCTGTCCCGGACAAGATTATTTGGAAATGGGAGTTGGATGGAAAATTCTCTGTTCGCAGCTGCTACAGGAAACTGAGAGGCAAAGTCGAATCAACTCACTGGAGGGGATGGACGAATATGTGGAACTGGAATGTACCACCCAAGATGAAAACTCTCTTTTGGCAGATCTGTAACAATTGTTTACCGACAAGGGAGAATCTGAGGAAACGAAGGGTAGATTGTCCAGGGTATTGCGGGCTGTGCGAGGCGAGGGAGGAATCTGTCTTGCATCTGTTCGTGGAGTGTCTGTAGCGCAAGATGCTTGGCGTTTGGTTGGCTGGTCGCTGTCTGAGGTCTGGTTTACTTCTTTTTTGGAATGGCTTGAGCATGTGTTTCAGACCAGGAGGGATGAGGAGTTGATGGTTGTTGTTTGGGGCTGCTGGGGATTATGGACTGAGCGTAATAAAAGGATATGGTAGGGGGTTTCTTCTGCTCCTAGTCAATTTATGCGTCGGGCAAAAGCCTTCCTTGAAGGCTGGAGATCGGCACAACTTCCTGGAAGCAAAGGAGGCTCAAGTCTGGCGGCGGGCTGTTCTCGCTGGTGTAAACCAGCAGCAGGCTGGGTGAAGGTGAATACCGATGCCTCAATTGATAATCTGTCTTGTAGTTTGGGTTGGGTGGTGCGGGATGAAGCAGGGGAGTTCATGGCTGGTGGATCCAAACTGTGGGCAGGTTTCTGCACTCCGTTGGAAGCCGAAATATTAAGTATAAGGGAGGCTTTGAGCTGGCTTAAAGAGCAACCTTGGGAGTTCGTTGAGATAGAGTCAGACTCATTATTGGCTATTAATGAAATCAAGAATGGTTCCAGCCTATCGAGTATTGGTTTGTTAGCGGAGGATGTTCGGGTGTTAAGCTCGGAGATTGCTAATATTTCATTTTCCCATGTTAGGCGTTCAGCGAATTTAGTCGCTCATATCTTAGCTAGAGTGGCGGGTTCTTTGTCTATTAGCCATATTTGGTCGATTTTTCCTCCGGGTTGTATTTTGAACGCTTTGTCTTTTGATCTCATTAATGCTAATTAAGTTCATTTCTGTCAAAAAAAAAAAAAAAAAAATTCTGGAACACTGTGGGTCCTACAATCAAGGACTTTGTGAATACAGTACTACGGACGGGGCATTTTCCAAAGAGAATCCTCAAATCTTACATGGTTCTGATCCCTAAAAATGAGAATCCGGAAGATGCTAGCAACTTTCGACCCATTGCCCTTCTTAATGTCATTTACAAGGTGGTTTCGAAGCTCCTGGTTAATCGTATGAGACTTTGGATTGGAAACATCATCGGTCCTTTCCAGAGTAGCTTCCTTCCCGGACGAAGTACAACAGACAATATTGTCCTTACCCAGGAAATTATTCATTCCCTCAATGCAAAAAAAGGGAAAAAAGGTGGGATGGCTATGAAGCTCGATCTCCAAAAAGCTTACGACTGCTTGAGTTGGCAGTTTCTGGAGACGACTTTGGATGATTTTGGTTTCCCGACTTCTTTTAAGAATTTAGTTATGAACTCAATCAAACATATGCAAATTGGAATTATCTGGAATGGGGGTGTGATGCAGGAAATTCAGCCTAAGAGAGGATTACGCCAAGGAGACCCGCTATCACCATACCTTTTCATCCTTGCAATGGAGCGTTTATCTCATTTTATTTGTAAGGAAGTGGAGGCTAAGCGATGGAACCAAATCAAAGTGGGTAAACCCGGGGTTGGCATATCACATCTCTTCTTTGCAGATGATCTACTGATGTTCGGAGAAGCTTCGAGGCATGATGATACACTTCAGAAATTTTCGAAAGTCTTGGGCTTGATGATTAATAAGAATAAATCCAGGATATTCTTTTCACCAAATCTGGATGGAGAGATGACAAAAAGACTCCAGGATATCATTGGCATCAAGAGTACAAATGATCTGGGAAATTATCTAGGCACACCTATTATACACGGTCGAAAATCTAAAAATAAGTTCTCTTATATTTTAGACCGTGTGAAAAAAAGTTGTCCTCTTGGAAGGAAAAGTCCCTCAATTTGGCAGGACGGAAAACACTGATCCAAGCAGTCACAACATCAATCCCACAATATGTGATGCAAAGTGTGCTTCTGCCCATAAGCATTTGTGATAACATTGACAAAGCGAATAGAGATTTTCTCTGGGGTAGTCATGACACAACAAGGAAAGTTCACTTGGTGAGTTGGGATGAAGTTTGTCAACCAAAAGATTGGGGGGGCTGGGATTGAGAAGGGCAAGAGATAATAATTTGGCTTTGATCGCTAAATTGGGATGGGAAATCAATATGGACAGTGACAAGTTATGGGTGAAAGTTATGAAAGCCAAATACATAAAAAATTCTTCCTTTTGGGAGGTGGACAAAAAGAATGGTTCATCCCAGATATGGAGAGATATTCTTAAGGGCCGAGAACTACTTAAGAGAGGGTTTGGTTGGCAGGTAAGCACCGGGGAAAACATATCCTTTTGGTTTGATCATTGGGTAGGGGAGAGGCCTTTGCATGAGGATATTGGATCACCACTTCCCGAAACTGCAACAATGGTCAAAGTGGCAGAATTTATAACTTGTGAGAGGAGCTGGGACACTCAGAAATTGGAAAGTTTAATCCCAGAAGAAGTCGTCGAATCTGTGAGAGCTATTCCCCTACCCATAGATGAAGGACTACAAGATCAACACTCATGGAGGCTCTCCAATTCAGGAGCATTCACTGTAAAGTCTGCATATGAGGCGGGTTTATAGAAGCCACATAATACAGATTTGGGTTGGATTTGGAAAATTGGGGCATCGGAAAAAGTCCGTTGTTTTCTATGGTTAGCAGTTAAAAATAAGGTTCTTACTAATTCGGAAAGACGCAAAAGACAGCTTACGGAGGATCACTTTTGCCCCATCTGCAATATGGAGGAGGAGACAGTGTTGCATCTGCTGCGGGACTGCATTTTTGCAGCAAGTTGCTGGAGAAGCCTATCAAATGGGTGAGACTATACATGGGGCTATACTTGGTCTGCTTTTGACTGGGTGAGTAGATATTGCAAAAAGGAGCGACCTATGGTGGAAGGGCATCCGCAGGCTACCCAATTCGCATACATGGTTTGGAATATTTGGAAAGGGAGAAATGCATGGGTGTTTGAAGGGATCCTTCCGAACGTGGATAGAGTCTCTTTCTTGGCCAAAGCCCAAGCAGCTGAATATACAATGACGGTTGTGAGAAGCGAATGCTGGAAGGTTAATAAAGCTAGAGTAGTAAAATGGCTCCCACCTCCGCTGGGACAAGTGAAATTGAATTGTGATGGGTCTTGCAGGGGGGCTGGAGGGAATGCTGGGGCAGGTGGGATTATAAGAAACCATAGAGGTGAATGGATTATCGGTTTCACTTTAAACATTGGCAAAACAGAAAGTTTTAATGCAGAATTAAGGGGGCTAAGGACGGGCCTTCTCATGGCAAGGGAATTTGGACATCATAGGGTCATTGTGGAGGTAGACTCAGAAAGCATGATTAATGCGGTTAAAAAGAACCAGGAGGACTGCAGAACAACTATTGGGGTACTGATTCGGGACTGCAGGAGACTACTTGAAGAGGATAGATTTATCCGCCTCCAACACACTTTACGTGAAGGTAATAAATGTGCAGATAGGCTAGCCAATGCAGCCTATGAATCCAACAAGGGACTGACGATTCTCAACACATCTCCGGAGTGGTTGAAACAACATCTATGGGAGGATGCAAATGGCCTAGAAAGTATTAGATATTAATTTTGCTTTGTTTTATTCCGATGTATAAAAAAAAGGATCGTTCAAGTCGAAAAGCACAACATGATGTAAATTATACACCATGCATGTAAAAGCATTACAAATTTACGGTTCATCCCAAGAAAATCAATAGTCAGATCACCGAAATCGGATAAAGTATATAAAAACTAATATTCATAAGTATGAATAGCCAAATCTTATTAATTAAGTAAAACAGTAAAAGAAAATTTGATTATATATAGAGTGATGCATTGATAATCACCTTGTCCTTTTAATAACTCAAAAAATCAATCATAAATAATAGCACAAATATCAGTCTCCCAAATCACCACTAGTTCAAATCTAAATGAACTAATTTATCTTAATATTTCATTTAAAATAGATATATAAACAAGTTAAGGTTTTTTGCAAATACATTACTTTTTTAACCTATCCAAATATAATAGTTATCACTATAAAATATGGATAAAAACATGACTAATATTATTACAAATATATAGAAAAATGTCAGGTGTACCCTATTTTGTGTACCCAATTCGCACCCTTGTCTGTCTACGCAAATAGAATTGTATCCACCGTTTTTATTATAATTTTACATTAAGAATTATTTCTTATTGGTATATTACATTCATTTTAGATTTGTAGACCGTTATTGAGCTCGACTTTTCAGTCCGAGTATGTTTGTCCAGGCTGCTGATTAAGGGGTGTTTGGATGTGATTCTCAAAATCGTTTCTGCTCTTTCAAGGAGCAGAAGAAGCTGGAGTGTTTGGGTGAAATTCCAGAAGCATATCTGGAGCTCTAATTTACTCTCGGAATCAGTTTTTTTTAGAAGTAAGGAGGTACCAGATTCTGAAAACTGAATCTGATTCTGCTTTTAAAAAAATAGTAGAATCAAATCCAAACACTCCTAAAAAGAAAAGACAAACTGAATCCGTCAAACGTTAATATCAGGCCGGTCTAGGTCCGGTTTGGGTAAATCATTTCGGGTTTTCCCACCTAATAACGGTAAATAAGAAAGAAACTACCGCATTCGGATTTCCGGACGTAACAGGAAAGAAGCAAGGAATTACGGAATAGAAAAATGACCGGCCGGACTGACCTGGACGTCGAATTCAACGAAATCGAGACCAAGTTTTCCGGCGTTGAGGAAAGAACGGATTGTATTCTCTCTGATAGCCTTCATTCTCCGATCGGACAACTCCAGCATATTCATCCCATTTCCTCTGTGACCCATCACCACAAACCTCTTCTCCTTCTCCTTCCACATCTTCACGCCTCTTCTTCCATCTCCAACTCCATTTTCTCCGCCGCCTGATGATAAGATCCAAAATAAAAATTAAAAACCGATTATATATTGTTCCCAACAATGCAAGAAAAATGACCAATTAAATCCAACAGATCTGCAAAGATGTATATATTTCCAGAAAATACAGACCGACCTTGGGCAGAAGTGGGGAGGCAGAACTTAGCTGCGTCATTTTCTGGCACATTATCAAGAAGATGCATTTCTGAAACAGGGACAGCCCTTACAGCCATTTTTATGCTTCTTGCAAGGAATTGTAAGAAATTAAAACACCATCCATAAAAAATCGATCATCAGGAAGTTATTTTATATGCATACATCATCCATATATATACACCATATATATAAAATCAGGCTGATAATACTATGATTAGGATATACAATAATCATTCTGGATCCATCCTGTAGGAAGGTTAAGAGCTATAATGGCTCATTTAAAAACAATAAGGAATAATAAATGTCGGATGCAAATTGCAGAAGGAAGATAAAGATTGAACCTTGGTCGATCCCATGACGTGGATACAGCTAATCCTCTGTCTGAAAATTTATCTGCTCTGGATTTTTCTTTCAAGTTCTTCACGTATGCAGGAAGGTGAAAGATGTACGGTTGTGTCATCAATTACGCCAGAAATGCAAGTTCGGACAGTGGGTTCCACTTCATGCCGTGTCATCAAATTTTAATCACATATTCATTGAACGGTTGTGTAATTATGAGCGGGTTTCGTAAGCCGTGTTTGGGGCTTAATTATGATATTTATGAATTTATGTTTTACTAGGTGATTTTTTTTTTTGAAAGAAGTTTTACAGGATGTTTAAATTTTGATTTCATGGCTGAATAATGTGGCTGAATAATGTAATGATAAAAAGTAAGATCGAAGTAAATTAGTTGAATTTGATGTGAAAGAATACTTTAGTTTTTTTAATACAAGTAAAATATATTGATGGTATCATGGACTTGGACCATGACCCAATTGCGTGATCCAGCCCTTAACAGGATCAGCCTAATTGATAGGATTAGCCAATAACGGGATCAAGCCCTAAACAGGATTAAGATAATGAGCCGCTGGGCCTAAATACGAATTGGGCCCACAATAAGAACCCACAACTAGGCCAGGCTGGACAGCAGACCTCGAACCTAGGCGGTGTTCTAGTGAGGTTGGGATATTCATAGGGCATGTGGCAGGCTGTCGGATGAGTATAGCTATTTGGCAGTAAGCAAGACTCAACGGGAAAACGTGGACTTAAAGGGACAGTCATTGCACAACGTCCAAGACATTACAGGAGACATATTCGACGAGAATATGTAATTAATAGCATTTATTGTATCAGTTTCCTCCTGAAATAAATATTTCCTGTACTATGCATTCCCTACCAGGGAGTTCGATCGGTCAATTGGTTCTCCTGAATAATAATACACTGCCTTACACTGCCCATATTGTTCATATCTTTCATATCTCTCGTAGTTGGATTAAACTCTTACATGTCAGTGCATTATTAATAGGAAAAATAAGTTTTTTTTATAAATCCGTACGTACAATTTTTGTGTAATTTTCATCATAAATCATTCCGAAATATTCTCTTAATGCTATAGTACATGTGTAAAGTTGTGCACATCTCAATATGTGACTTCCTTACCCCATCCCTTATTCGATTTAGACGAGTGTTTGTGAAATGTTGTTTTACTGTTGTGATCGATGTTGTTAGATATTCAATTTGACAATTTTTTTTAAACACTTTTAGAAGCCATTTGGCAACACAGTTTTTCGGTTTATCAGGCTTATCAGCCAGCTTTTTCACCAAACACGTAACTTTTGCTTTCGTGTACTGAATTGTGTAATAAGCAAAAAAAGTAAGGTTGGAGTTACTTTTCTGGCTATATTGGCTGAAGTTATTGTAGATGATCATTTTAGCTGTTTTTACATATAATTTTTTCTTTATTTTTTTAATAAAATATATTTTAAATTTTTTTTTCTTGAATCAGCAAAATCAGCCAATACAGCCAATTCAACCAGAACTTCACAGAATCAGCCAAATCAGCCGATTTTCATGCTACCAAACGGGCTCTTAGCTATTTCTCCCTAAGTTTTAATTCCCTTACGCAGACCCTTATGTGCTCATCTCCTCTTTTGACAGCCATCATGCTACATGAACTTTAACCTTACAAGTTTAATGTTTTGTTTTTCATCTTAATAATTGTTAATATCCGGAGTTTTATCATTGTTGGGTTAATTGGCCGATATAGGAACGACCCAATAACCCTTTGCAAGATAACCATCGAGGCCCAATCGGGGTATGACCCAACAAGGAAACCGGGAAGACGTTCGGCCACCTAAGGAAGACGCTCGGTGTCCCCATCCTTGGCCAAATGGAGCTAGACAAAGATTCAGGCCCCCCGGGAGAACAATCTTCGTAGGCCGAGCGGGTCCCATCATCGTGACCATTCGGTTCCAGAGCCCAAGATCTAGCAGACGCTCGTCCGGACGCATTGGGGGAAAACTAAGATATTGGCGAGAAACGCATTTAATGCAATAGATTTGGTGTGGTTGGGAAGCTAACCACTCACAATCCTCCACATCATCGACATCACCTACCCCTTGGTAGTATAAATAGTACGTAGTATCATTTATTTCATTATAAAGAGTTGGTAACTTATACTCCATAACAATAGCAATTACGGAAATTGTCCTAAATAGGACTAAAAAGTTCCTAAAATGCACAAATAGGACTACTATTTTTAAAATTCCCTAAATAGGACTAAACATTGATTTTCTACCCTAAATACCCCTAAGAGTATTAATTCATAATGAAATGCTTTAATTCATAATAAAATCACAAAAAACGTAAAAAATATTTAAAAAAATGTAAAAAAATTATAAAAATTTTTTATAAAACATTTATAAAATAAAAAATTTAATTTTTTATTTTTTTAATTTTTTTTAAAAAAATAATAAAAAATAGTAAAAACCCATAAAAAATGAAAAAATTATGGATACCTTTCTCACCGCCTCCCGCCGCCTCCCAGCACCACCACCTCCGATTGGTGAAATTTCTTCCACTTTTGGTAAAAAAAATGCCATATTTTTCTGAAAATGTCAAAATTATTTAATTACTCTTCAATATGCCAACATTGAAGTGTGTTGTGATAGACTCTTATTATTATTGAATAAGACATGGCAGACTTACTAGATATCTCTTCTTGCTTGTCATTTATTGTTTGTGCTTACTCATCACCTATAACTCACTAAATACTCCACTCGAAACCCAAAGGAAGGTGTTGGGCCTTTGGAGTTGAAGGAATAAACCTCCTCATAAAAATTTAACCAAGGAGTAACAACAATAACTTAAAATCTCAATATACCAAATAGTTGGTGACATAATGAATTGGACAGAAATTAGCACTGATGTTAGCAAATCTGTGTCAAAAGATCTGAGTGAGTTCCATTGTTTTTTAATAGTTTTTGTGCATATTGTTAGTTTAATTTCTTGTTAGTAACTTTTCGTAATGTGCTCATTTTTATTGAGAAAAAGGGTGTACTTCATAATTTACCTAAGAGGTAGGAACTCCTAGGTCACTTGATTCATGTATGTCAATGCAGCGAGCTGGCGTTCTTCCGGGGCAAGTGAAAATCAGATTTACTGGTCGTATATATCAAAGCTATTAGTTTGTACCTATTTTTACGCTTTGATTTCACAACTGCTATTAGCCTGTTAGATTATACACTTAAATTAAATAGTAGATATTGATTCATTAAAGATTGCTATTTTTTTAAAGGATTAATAAAGATTGCTAATTAACTTGTTTTGCTTTTAATAGATTGCAATTATTATTATTATTATTATTATTATTATTATTATTATTATTGTTATTATTATTATTATTATTATTTCAGGATTGAATGTCAAGAAAACGCAGAGTCGTATTCATGAAAGCATTTAAATGAAATTTATAATGTGTTAATATGTTATGTATATATACTTTGTCAACTTTCTTTATTAAGTAAAGAATTTGTAGTTTCACTTAATTCCTTTTCCTTTATACAAATCCCAACCACACAATTACTCTTTTAATTATCTATGTGGGTCAAACTTGACAAAGTTTTATGTGACGGATGAAGTATTTTCTTCGTCTGACAATTCCTTAATGTACGTTGGTTACTAATTTAAAGCTAAATACATTCGTAGTTTCTTAGTTAAAAGTTAACTAAGACGGGTGAGGCATGGGCCTCAGGGCCCCAAAAACGTTACTACCTCCATCCCCCTAAGTTTGGGACGAGAGAAGGTGTCACGGTTATTAATAAACGTGAGTTTATGTGGTTCATATTGAATTGATAAAGTAAGAATAAAGTAGAAATGATTTAGAACCACACAAACTTTACCAAATAAGGTATGAGACAATCTTAGTGGGACGGACCGAAATGGTAAAATGGGACAATCATAGCGGGACGGAGGTAGTACAATTTTAGGGCCCCAAAATTTAAGATGTTTTTATAGTATACATATGTAGAGAACTTATCTGGTCAGGCGCGCCTGACCATAAATTTTTGAAACATACTGCACATTCTGATCATAAAGTTGTGGTGTGAATTGTGATTTTTTGTGTTAGAGACTTGAGAAGTAGTTTGTGATTGAATTTAACAGTTAACTATTAATCAATATTCATATACATACGTAGTATGAAATATGCTAACTATTAATAAGTATACATGTTTTTAGCTTTTAAACTTGTAAAGCCATTTATGATCTTGTATATATTATGAGACTTGAAGTCAGAGAGCTTTTGGCCGAAATTGAATTGGATATCAAGAATTGAAAACTTTTTTTTTATTTAAGTTGTTCCTTTTTTAGATATTTAAATATTAAATTTTGAACATGTCACATAATATAATATGGTGACAAGAATCAAGATTTTTTATTGAGCACATTATACTACAAAAATTACATGTACCGGCCTTTTTAGTAAGTTCGACTCAGACCCGAATTTAGGTAGGATCGACAATTCGACACTGGTTAAAGCTGCCGCATATTTCAATAATTCAGGTTTTGATGTGGTGATTCTTTATCAATAACCGTCCCGCTTTTATTAAACGGTTAAAAGTTCGTGACGGTGCTTAGGTAAGAATCGCCACCCATTTTGTTACAAAAATAAATTTTGAGGTGATTTTGGATACAAAATAACTGTAACGTTTAACAATCCAAGTCATTGCCTTTTGCGACGATTGAAACCAATCAAACCATAGCTCCTTAAAACCAATTGGTATCATTTTTTTTGAGCTAGTGCATCTTATGGTTACAAAAATGACTCGATTTATACAATAAACTTTAAATGTATAAACATAATGTCATTCATTAATGAACAAATTGTAACTTCATTTTCGAAGGCCAAATAGGGAGATAGAGTTATATAATGTGAAATACTATAGCATTTAGAATTATTTAGATTTGGAGTGTAGAACTATAGATGAACC